TATATATATACATATAGATATAGTATTGGAAGCTGATAGATAGAAGAGGGTGAGGGAAGAGAGAGAAAAAGGTAGTCTTCAAACTTCATGATTCTGGTAAGCGTGGAAGGGGTCATTAAAGGAGGAGAGAATGACGTTGGAATTTGCTTATTTTTCCTCGTTAGAATCAGAAACATAAGGGAGAGGATTAGGGGTGTCAATTCGGGTCAACGGGTTAGGTTTGAGTCGAACCCAAAACTGACCTGGTACTATTCAGGTAAACCCGAACCCGACCCGACACAAATGACCCGCGGTTGACCAAAAATTGCTAGTTTTTGGGTAAAAATTTGGGTCAATCTTCGATTTTCGGGTCAAAATGGGTCAATCTCGGATTTTCGTGTCAAATACGAGTTTTCGTGTCAATTTCGGATTGCTGGGTCAACCCGAACCCAGCCCGATTTTTAAACGGGTTGATTTGTTGAATCCGAATCCGACCCGTTTTGGGTCCAAGTTGACCCTAATCCGGATTTTTCCGGGTCGGGTTTCGGGTCGTGTCAAAAATTGACACCCATCAGAGGATATAGCTACAGGTGCTTTGAAACAGCGTGGAATGCTAATTCGGCCTTACATGTGACTGGAATCTTGCTGTGGGCCGTGAACCAAGGGATCTCTCTGTTCTGAAGAAATAGAAGAGAGCTGTGGTTTTTTTTGTTGTTTATGTTTTTCAGAGAAGAGTAGAAGGGATTGGAGGAGGTGGGGGAGAGAACGAGGGTGTAGGAAATAAAGCCTTGCAAGCGTTGCTTTTGAGGTGTTTTTTTTTGTTGTTGGGGTGGACTCGGACCTTCTCTTTCTCTTTCTCTTTCTTTAGAGCCTTAGAATGATTCTTCTCTTATATCAGAGTGGCTTTTTTAGGTCCTTGCTGCTGTAGATTGTACTTTGTACATTTAGGCAAGGATTTATTTATTTATTTATTTTTGAAGTTTTCCTTGTTTGCATGCTTCCTAACTAGTAGCACGCTTGTTGGCCAAGAGGTTTGTCTAGAGACCAATCAGAATGTGCCACGTCACTTTGTACTGTTGATGTGGCACATTCTGGTTGGTCTCCGGACGATGATCTACATCTGGTCTCCGCACAGAATAATTTCTTAAGAATGTGAATTTTGCTCGAATGTTATTTTAAAATTAGTTTGAATTTTGGTTCAATTTGAGCTTATAGATTGAAGCTAATGAGTTGATTAAAGAGCCAAGCATGGTTAGGATCCATTTTATGTTGAGTCGAATCTAAATTTATTGAAATGAATATGCATGCTTGTAAAAGTGCAAAAGCATTTATATATTTTTATGGTAGTTAGATTTGAATTAGTGAATATATGCATTTATGCATATGAATCTGGAAATGTTTAAATCATATTAAACAACTTTGGATTCGGCTCAATGAATTGAATTATTCGACTCTGGCTTTCTATAATATTTTTATCTATATTTTCCAAAATGCCCCTGCCACTTTATTTTATATATATTTTTGAGAGAGAGAGAGAGAGAGAGAGAGAGAGAAAAGGGGTCGATTCATGGAGTTTTTATTTGGTCCGGTGCAAGGACCTAGAGGAAGGTTCGGTTTTGCCTAAAAAAGTGCAAATACCGAGTTTTTTAAAAAAATACCGAGTTTTTCAAAAAACTTGGTATTTTCACTTTTTACCTATTTTTGGCTAAAACCGAACCTTCCTATACATCTAGTGAAAGGACCTAATAATTGCTCTTCACGAGCTGTGGCACTGATAGATATTGTTTCTTGTGAAATAGGGTATTGTTTTCCTATCATAATTAAGTATTCTACATATGCTAATCTATGAATAAAAAAATTTGTTATTTCACCCTGAAAATTTCAATATTTTCTTTTTCACTTTTCTAGTCCTCATCGGGATTTCCTATGAACAGTTTGCAAGTATTGGGTTCATTCATATATGCTATTATGACATGTCAATGATCATATTATTCATTGTTTTCTATTTGGCTTAAAGCATACACACTATACACATGATTTGCATGTCGTACAATCCATATGGCTTTTAGTCTTTTGTGTACTGCGCATGACACATAGCCATTTTGATCTTGATTCTATAGGACCTAGTTTTTTTTTTGGGACTTTTGAGCCAATTAAAATAAGTTTCGAATCCAAGACTTCTTTATTGTGAGAGAAATTATTTTGTGTGGACTCCGAACGCAACTCTACATCCAGAGACCAACCAGAATAAGCCACATCAGCGATACCGCTCTCGAGAGCGGTATCGACGTGGCACATTTTAGTTGGTCTCAGAACGGTGTTCAGCATCCGCACATAATCATTTCTCCTTAATTACTAGTCAAAGTTCTCAACCAACATATCATAATAAGCTGCATAGAATCTTGTTAATGTTCATACATATTTCATTTATTATTTCTTCATGTGATGCATTGACTATAAGCATAATTTTAGTATAAAAATGTTTTTGTTTAAGAAATTTTTATGCTAGAAATAAATTGTAGATACTTACAAAATTAATTATAATTACATAATTACAATGGCTCCTTTAGCAGCTAATCTATAATTTATAAATAAATTGTAGATACTTACAAAATTAATTATAATTACATAATTACAAGATTAATTACCAATAAAAAAAAAACAAGATCAATTGTAGATTGAGCTTATTATAAAAAGATTTTTATGATCATCTATAGTTCTATCTTATTTTTTCATACCAAACAACAAAGCGGTAAAAAATTTAGTTTTTTACTGTTTTTTTAAATCAAATTTTTAGTATAGAAATTTTTTGAGCTAAAATTTTTTTATTAAAAAATTGTTTAAAAAAAACAGTAAAAAAATTGTCTCAATCAAACAAAATCTTAATAGAATGTAGATTGATTTTCTATTATCTAGACTTTGGGTATGATATCGTTTATAATATTCTATTAAAAACTGTCTTTAGCAAAAGCAAGAAAACATTAGGCGATGGGCATCCGAATATTCCAGCCTGGTGAACCAAAAGTTTTTAATATCACAAGAAATTATTAGATAAGGTTGGATCTTGATTTGCTAGTGAGTTTACATAGTATTAATTATGATATTTCTCAAAAGAATTTATTTGATTGGCACATTTGTAGATAACAATAGAATTGGATGCATTTGGAATTAAACTTAGGATTCAAATTAGTAGTAAAATTGAACATCTCAATAAAACTAATCTAACAACACAAAGAGTTATTAATTATTCTGTGCAGACGTCAAACGCCATTCGGAGATCAACCAAAATGCGTCACATCACCTCTTATTTGGTAACGCGGCTCGGTACTGCTAACACGATGTATTTTGGTTGTTCGCCGAACGACGTTCTAAGTCTGTTTTCCACATAGAATAATTTCTCCTCACAGTAAACTATCAATTAGTTTTCCTCTTAAGTAGGTATCATTCCAGCCATAAAAAAGATGTCACATTAGCCTGTCGCTCAATTCAATTCAACACATTCAATCTTAATCAGGCTTTCATTAACATGTAGGCACCCATCTAATTTTTTTCATTAAGATGCAGATATATTTCTCAAATGGCAAATATTTCAACAACTCTCATACATCATGTGTCATAATATGATTTTGTATATAACATGTGAACAACATGTAATCAATACATCACATGAAAAATAATAAATGAAATATAATGCGTATGAACATTAACAAGATCTTACGTATCTTTTTGTGATATGTTGGTTGAGAACTTTGACTAGTAATCGGGAGGTCTTGAGTTTGAAACTTGAGCGTGTGATGTGTGCGTGCATGTGTTTTAGTTGGCTCAAAATATGTGTTTATTTGAAACTACATGGACACAAAATGTGTAAAGTTAATTTTCTTAAATAAGAGTATGTTTGGAATAGTTTTCTTACCGTCTTATTATTTATACCTGATACACCGTCAAAAAATATCTTGATCGGGCCCCGAATCTAGATGCAAAGTCAAGTTGAAAATTTTAAAAATTAATTTGGAGATCATCTGAACTCTGATTTCAGCAAACTTATAGTCGAATTGAACTTATCGGAAACACAAACCCAACGACACCAAAATCAACTCAATCCGAGTCCAAATGGATTCAAATCAAGGACCCGAAGCACTGTTGGAAGGTTCAAACCACATTTTGGGTTACCAAATAGTTTCCAAACATGAACCAAATCGAGTGGCTCGACCCCACCACTTGAGGCCCTCACCTCCGCCGGACCACCGCCTGATACTGTTGCTCCGTCGAACCTCCACTTAAGGCTCTCACCTCCGCCAGAGCACTGCCTGACGCCATTGCTCCTGTGGACCACCACTTGAGGCCCTCACCTTTGCCGGACCACTGCCTGACGCCATTGCTCCGTTGGACCACCACCTGAGGCCCTCGCTTTCTCCGAACCACCACTTGAAGCTCTGAGCTCTTTTGGCCACCACTTATATATATATAATTACTTTAAAATTACTTTCCCAATAGTAATTTTGTAACTACTTTTATAAAATACTACAATAATTCAAAATAGACCTTAAATAAATAACATTAAGAAGTATCATAATCATGTTTTTATTAAAAAAAAAAAATTAATGTAATATTATTCGTAAATTCTTGAAAAATAAAAAAATTATAACTAAAATTCAATCGTAATAAAATTTAAAATTATTTGTTTTGTTTTTAAAAGAGTATAACATAACAAATTTGTTTTGTTTTTAAAAGAGTATAACATAAAAAAAACAATCAAAATTTATATTATACTTATCTCAAAATTGATCTAATAATTTTAATAAAATAAAAATTAATAAGAGTATTTTGACTCAATTAAAAAAAATTGGACGAAATGAGTCTAACTATCAAATAATGGGTTCCAAAATTCGGTCGGCATATCCTCAAATGTTATTCCTTCCATCCTTTGGAATATGCTCATATACTCAAAAGGAGCCTCAATTTGTTTCAAGATGCTGTTGATTCGGAGCCCTCTATATATATAGCTTATAAAGGTAAAAGGGCCTTCAAATCCCTCCCCCCTCTCTCTCTCTATCTCCTCTGTAAAGCGTAACAATTTTTTTTGTCAAAACCCTCTCATTCGCCTTCCTCCACTTCTCCGATTCCATTCTTTCTCTCTCTTCTCCTGTGCTTCTTCTTCTACTTTGGTCTTGCTTCTTCGCAGAAGAGACGCGGATGACTACTGAGGACTTCAAACCGGACGAAGAAGCGCCTCCGCTCTTGGAAGAAGGAGAGGGCAACTCCAAAACCCGAAGGATCGCACTATTCATCGAGCCATCGCCCTTCGCGTGAGAATCCCTTCTCTCTCGCTCGAAAGTTAATTTTTTTTTGCTACTATTTTACTAAAAGAAAGATTAGTGATGTAGTCCAATATATTGGGATATTGTTCATTGGGTTGTGGAATGAATGGGGATTTGTTTGACCATGGGGAGTAAGTAAGTTGAGTATGGTGATTTTTGCTGTGATATGATGTATTTGATCGGGAAAGGAATATTTTTAGCATTTTCATTGACTCTTCTTCATTTTTAACACGCAACTGATGCTTGATGTGCTTGTATTTTGGCAGGTATGTCTCAGGATATAAAAACCGTTTCCAAAATTTTATCAAGTACCTTCGGGAGATGGGAGATGAGGTAATTTAGCGACTCCAAATTTGAATTCTTTTTGTTTCCTTGGCTGTTATGAGAAAATGATTGTTTAGATTTGATGCAAGGAATTGTGCTTTTGGTTGTCAATATGGACTAGAAACGCCAATAACATTTGGAGAGAAGTTGAATAAGGCTAAGCTTGGTGACTCCACTGAGTTAGGATTGTTAAGTTGCGGGGCAGTTACATAGATTTAGTTATGAATGGATCTTCATACTGAAATCATTGTGCAGGGTTGGAAGCTTTTGGGGATTTCGAGGTGGAGCCTCAGTATGACATCCATTATTTACGGATTATTTCATTAGGCCTTCTCCAGTTGAACGCCAAACATTCGTATGACATCGTTCGGTCGCTCCAGCCGAACGCCAAATCTTCCGCTATTTGCTTGCGGGATAAAGTATGAGAAAGAATATACTAGGAATATTCTCTTTTTGGTGTTAGAAAATGGAGTTCGGTTGGAGACAAGTTACTGCATTTTAGAGTGAAAAATGAGTTTTTTCGGTTGGAGATGCCCTTACGGGTGCTTTAGAAATTTTATTATATAGCTGTCATATATTTTTCATAAGGGGCATCAGTTTATGTTTGACAGATAGGAATTATGATTTTAATTCTTCATAATAAAATCATAATGAAATTTGCAATGGCAGTGAAAATACGTAGCCATCAATTAAGTGAACACGTTTAAAATTCTTTGTATGTTTTAGTGTGTTGATTTTTTTTTTGTTTGTCTTTGTATTTTTTTAATTATGTTTTGTCTAATTCCCAATAAGGACTGTTTTTTTGTTTTGAGAAATTTAACTTTGTTCTTATAATTACGTAGGTTATAGTGGTCACAACCAAAGAAGGAGTGCCTCAAGAGTTCCATGGAGCAAAATGTATAGGCTCTCGCAGGTATTAGACTGAAGCACATTTGTCATATTCTTGGTTATAAATCAAACTGCTTTGGCTTTTTAACTAATGTTTATCGTTCTCTACAGTTTTCCCTGTCCCCTGTATTCAAACGTTCCGCTTTCACTTGCTCTAAGTCCTAGAATAATTTCAGAAGTGGCAAACTTTAGGCCAGACATAATACACGCTTGTTCACCTGGGGTCATGGTAGTTTGATCTTTACTTTTTATAAAATTATTACATTTGAATTCTGGTTCCAAAATGATTTGACTTTAGGTTTTTCTTTGGTTTTCAGGTTTTTGGTGCTCTTGCAATTGCTAAAATGCTGTGTGTTCCCATAGTAATGTCATATCACACTCATGTTCCAATGTGAGTGGCATTATTGAGTTGGCTTTATATATCCAATTGCAGAGATATTAAGCAATAAGCATTGCTACTTCAATTCACCATTTCTTAAAAAAAAAATTTCTAAGGGCATATATGATTGCTTGTAAATGACATGAAATGTTTTACAAAGTGAATTTTATTTTCACTCTTTTTTTAAGCGTGGAAATGAAATTCACATTTGAGGAATTTTGAAAATTGCTTGTAGGGTTATTAAAGCAATATGCTATTTACATTGAATCAAATAAAATTAATCAAGAAACCAAATGAATCTTGAAGTAGTTTGTAAATATTGTTTGGTGTTTAATTTTGTAAACTTTTTTCATTCATTTTGAGGCATATTTCATATATAGGATGCTGTGCATGAGTTAAGATTGTGTAGAATATGAGAGATTATTATGTACGGATACCAGACGGAAAGAACTGTTCGGTTTTGTCTATGTGAACAGTAAAAGCGCAGCATGAACACTAAAAGCGCAGTTCACTGCTCTTTTACCGTTCACAGAGACAAACCGGGTGGTTCTCCTGTCCGGTGTTCGCACAAAATAATTCATCGTAGAATATATAGCACGACACCCTCAACTTTAAATAATAAATATGCCAGGCTTTGTAGCCTTGGATGCTTTAATTTCAGGTCTGCGTATTATTTTTTTCTGCTGTAAATGTTGATATAAGCATTGGTTTATTGTTGTCTGATGCTGCAATAATTGTCGCAGCACATTATGAATAACTATTTCCAATTGTTCTATTCTGGCATACACATTTCTGACAATTCTAATGTTGATGACTCATTTTCACGTGCAATAATCCCTTTTTACTGTTTTGTGTCCAGCAAAAATTTATGATTTAAATCCATATTTACTACTTCAGCCAATGATGTCTGATTGCTATGTCCTTGTAACAGATACATACCGAGATATACCTTTAGTTGGCTGGTGAAACCTATGTGGTCAATCATTAGTAAGCCACCATCTTCTTTCCTATTGTTTATAAGTTGATTACCCTAAATATAATTTATCTTCATATTTTTATCTCAAGGGTTCCTTCATAGAGCTGCTGATCTTACACTTGTTCCATCAACAGCCATTGGCAAGGATCTTGAAGCTGAGCATGTCACTACCGGTAAAATTATTTTATGTTGCTTAGGCAGAGGATATCATTCTTAGTTCTTGATGGCTTTGCTTATTTTACAGCAAATAGAATACGTCTTTGGAACAAGGGTGTTGATTCTGATTGCTTCCATCCTCGCTTTCGCAGCCATGAAATGCGAGTAAGACTAAGGTACTTCATTGAAATCTAACATCGTTTCAATGTCAGGGATCAAGCTATATTTTTTGTTTAATTCTTCTATCTCTTCCTTGTTAGTGGTGGTGAACCTGAAAAGCCTTTGCTAATTCACATTGGCCGGCTTGGAGCTGAAAAAAACTTGGATTTTCTGAAAAAGTATGTAAAGTTTAATCTTGGTGAATGTCTTTCTTACTACTACTTAAAATAACTTTTTAGTACAAAATTGAAATTTTTTACACAAGAAAGTTGCTTTAAGAAGCAGTAAAAAAGTCGCCCAAATGAAGCCCAAGTTTTTCTAACTTTTTCGACTCTGAAACATGTGACCATAAACAGGGTTATGGATAGGCTACCAGGAGCAAGAATTTCTTTTATTGGGGATGGACCGTATAGGTCAGTCATTCAAGCCATCTCTAGCTAATTCATAAACTTGCTGGCAGGAAATGAAATCCTCCTATTTCGTCCATTCAAAGCTAGAGCTAATATTAAGCAATGAAATCATACAAGAATGTATATGGGATTTACAAGCAACACTTGAAAAATCAGGATTCTCCTATTGCTACATTTCCACATAGTTCTTCTATTGCCCTTCTTTTTCTGTTAAAATAAAAGTTCACTCTCGCTCTATAGTTCATTAGCAGATTAGCTAGTCCAGTATGAACTCAATCTCTCAATGACTTGTATAACTTCAGGGGTGAGCTAGAGAAAATGTTCAAAGGCATGCCTGCAGTGTTCACAGGAATGCTGCAGGGCGAGGAGCTCTCGCATGCCTATGCAAGTGGTGATGTTTTTGTGATGCCATCAGAATCAGAGACCCTCGGGCAGGTTGTATTAGAATCAATGTCATCAGGAATTCCTGTGGTTGCGGCTCGTGCTGGAGGAATCACCGACATCATCCCCGATGAGCAAAGTGGCAAGATAAGCTTTGTTTTCACTCCTGGAGACCTGGAAGACTGCATTGGAAAGATAGAGTACTTGCTATCCAACAAAGAGTTCATGGAAGCCATGGGGAAGGCTGCACGTCAGGAGATGGAGAAGTATGACTGGAGAGGGGCGACTAAGAAGATACGCAACGAGCAGTACAATGATGCCATCAGATTCTGGCAAAAGAAGAGGGCGCAGCTGCTCGGCCCCATCCAGTGGCTGGTGAAAAGGTGGTTCCGGCTGCCTGAGCTTACCTATGGCAGATGATATGGGAATATGAAAGGGCTACGGTGTGAAAGGAAGGTAAGACAAATATATAAATTATGATTGAGATAGCTATTGGAAGGTGTGGATGAATATAAGTTTGATTCTTTCTTTGGATTGAAATGGTGACAGCATTTTGCTTGTAAGAAATAGCTAGCAATTTTTCTTTTTACTTGTAGTGTTAAGTTTGATGTCATGTATTGTTTCTGCAACAGTCAAAATGCTTGTTTGCTTCCACGCAAAGATCACAATTATGCAAAAGCAACTGTAAATCTGTAATAAAAAAAAAAAAAAAAAAAAAAAAAAAAAAAAAAAAAAAAACTGTAAATCTGTAATAGAATTTCTGAAATTGCAAGCAAAGTTGGAATCTCTTTGGTTGTGGATGCTTACTGCTAGCAGTCTAGACTTTGTGAGAGTTTGAGGTTTTGTTTGGAATGCCTTTTTCATTGCTTCTTAAAATAATTTTTTAGTACAAAATTTTTAATTTTTATATTAAAAAGTTGCTTTAAGAAACAGTAAAAAACCGTCCCAAACGAAGCCCGAGTCCAAGCTTCTACTTCTGCACATATCCTTGAGGAAGTTAGCATCAACCTTAATGGGAAATCCAAATTCATTAAAATCATTACGTGGCTGGAAGTCTATGCCCTGTGTTAGTTGTGACTCCTTTGTTCAATCCTCTCTTTACTGCACCTTCTAACTCCTCTTCCTCGCTACTACCCCTTAGAGGCAAAGGCGGAAGTAGAAACCCCTTGGTCGTTAAAAAAAGCCACACTTAGCTTTTCTAATCCTTTTTTTCATCTCTTATTGCCCCTCCAACTACTTCTGAAAATTTAGACTTCATTTGTGGTAATTTTTTTATTGCTTTTTTAAGAAGTTTTTTAATGTAAAAATTTTTTGATTTAAAAATTTTTATACTAAAAAGTTGCTATAAAAAATGTTAAGAAAGCTATGTCAATTTATCCTTAGCCAACTTTGATTTCCTCTTTCAAGAGTGTTGATAAAATTCTAAACTCAATCCATCATAAGGTTATCAACCATGAGTCTCAACTTGATAAGATTCCATTTAACTCAAATACCACTCTTAAGAGAAATTATTTTGTGCTGAAACCAGACGTAGAATGCCGCTCGGAGACCAACCAAGATAATCCACGTCAGTGGTACTGAATAGTACGGAGCCGTGTTACCAAGCACATGGGTGACGTGGCGCATTTTGATTGGTCTCTGGATGACATTCGGCGTCCGCACATAATATTTTTTTTCCTAAATTAGGTCATACTCCCCTTTAAGTCTTATTGATCCTATGCTTATAATACATGGTTATGGCACTTCATCTAGTACAAAAACAAACCCTACATTATGTTCTATCAAGTAAAAGGATCCTAGAATGTTAAAGAGGGTTTCATGAGATAGATAGGGTGCTTAGTTGCATGAGCTTTATCAACTCATATAGCCTAACCCTCCTCTGTACTCTTGAAACTAAACCCAATTCATCTCTTTTTAAAAACCCTTGGTTGTTGAATCCAATCAAATCTAGGTTTTGAAATCAGTTGTGGCAACTTTAATCTCTTCTTTTGATTAGATTTGGATTAAATAGAATTCTTCTAAAGTTTTTGAAGAGCAAATTATCCATGATGATGTTCAGTGCGGCAAAATTAGTCTTCTTTATTTATGTTGGCAACAACCATGCTGATAGGGCTCACCTCTAGGCAACTTCAATTAACATTGTTGATAGCATAAATGGGTAATTCAATGTTGTTGATAGCTTAAATGGGCCATGGATTATTTTGGATGATTTTAATTACTAGATTTTAATATGAGAAGGTTGGGGGTAATCTCATTCCTAATAGCAAGTTTGGGGATTTTAATAACTTTATTTTTGAAGTCAAGCTCAAAGATTTTTCTTTTGTTAGGCATTTTTTTACTTGGTTTAATGACATAAAAGATAATTATTTTAGAATTTAATTGCATCATGTACTCGTTAATCAGGTCAAGTCACATAGAAAGTCAGCCTTCTCATGACCTTATTAGGAGAGTATGCCATAACCCGGGGTTTAAATTGGAAGAATTTCATTTTCTATTCTCTCAATCATTTTTTTTATCTTCTTTATTATGCTTTTATCTTTTTAATTCTTTAACAATTAGGTCATTAATAATTAGATTATTGATAACCAAAACTAACTAATTATATTTAGGGAATATAAATAGTAAAAAACTAATTATATTTCTATAGTCAATATTTATATACTACTACAAAATACATAATCCAAAATCATATATACAATAGTCACAACAGACTACAAAAGAATACATAAAACCAAAAAGCTGAAAAATAAAACTAAACCAGCATCATCGTTTAGCCTCACATTGCAGACTCCTTAACCTTACCTGAAAGCATGTAAAAATCACATAATAAGCATATAACCTACTAAGTAATTAAAATCTTACAATTAAAATCTTTAGACTTTCAATTTTAGCTTTAGTATGGAAGTGGAGAGAGGAGTTGGATATACATAGTATTGATTTGGTTAGGTGCGCTGTCATGAGTGCGTGGCTGCAGCACTTTCATTGTGCAAAAAATGAGAAAAAGTAAAACCCTTCACAATTAAATCATTAGCAGTTAAAAAATAATTAAATAATTGGGTGGTGATTTAATATTAGATAATAAATAATTAGTTAATTATGAAAGTTTTAATAAAATCATATTTAAATAATTAAATATTTTAATAATTAATCATATAGCATGTAACTCTACATTAAAATATCTTTTCATCATTTTTTCACAATGGAAAGTCTAAATTAAAATAGTTTTGTTTGTTGTCTCATTTGAAAGGTTAGAATAAATTAAAATAATTCTATCTGTTATCTCATTACTGGAGCCAAGAGGAGTTGTAAGATCAAAAT